TGCTTTTCTCTTTAATTTTTGCTTTTTTTTTTTTTTAAACCTGGACCTGATTTTTCTGTAACAGTAATGAAAATCTGATATCATTTAAATTAAATTAACGTAAATTATTTAAACTGTAAAGTATTTATATAGCATAAAAATGTCTGCTGTATTGAATTTAATTTATTCTATTTAAAAAAATAAATAAATAAAAACCTGGACCTGGATTTTTCTGTAACAAAAATTAAAATCCGATAGCATTTATATGTCATAAAACTGTCTGCTGTATTGCATTTATTCTACTAAAAAAATAAACCAGATTTTTCTGTAATAGCAGAAAAATTGGACATGATTTTATTTTGAAATAATGAAAATTTAACATTATTTAAATTAATGCAAATTATTATCTGCTTCACTTCATTTTGTTTTTTTATTACATATATATGACTACATCATGTCGTCAGTGGGAATGAATATTTTCCACATACAGCAGCTGAAAGCATCTCACCTTGATTTTGACGGTGCAGTGGCTCAGTGAGGAGCAGCTCAGAAACACCTCCAGCTCCATCTTTGTGGTGGGTTCATCCATCACTGCTCCACATTCTAAACAGAGGAATCCTTTCCTAGAAACCAGCACACATGCAACTTTTATTGCTGTTTTTCAAATGTTTGTTGTGTCTTTTTCAGTTTGAGGGCTCAAAGGCACCATGATTCATTACTTCAGCTTTACTCTTACACAGGAATGTGAAAACAATTTAGCCATGCGGTGGGTTGTGATTAAACACAATGCAATGGAGGATTCTTACACATTAACTCTGAACACATAAGGGTCAACAACCTTAAGAGACTGCACAAGATCAACACATGCATTTAGCATTCCAGGACAGCACCATTATTCTGTATATTCTATTTGGCAGATGCTTTTATTCAAAGGACTTGCATTGGATTTCAAGGCATATATTTTTTTCATGCAAACCCATAACCTTGGTGTTGCTAGCATCATTATCTACTGTTTGAGTTATAGGAATGTCTATTTTTAAAGTTGACAAGCAACAGCGTTTTACTTCCATAATCTGACATATTTCTGAATGAACCATGAAAAAAATGTAGATCCTCTGCAGTGAATGGGTGCCGTCAGAATCAGAGTCCAAACTGCTGATAAAAACATCACAATAATCCACAAGTAATGCACACAACTCCAGTCCATCAGTGAACATCTTGTGAAAAGCTGTGTTTGTAAGAAACAAACGCATAATTTAAATGGTCATTTTCAGCTTAAGTACGAGTCCATAATTCATAATAACGCTTCATCCAGTGTTGTCCTCTCACATCAAAGTACAACATATTTGTTTAGAACTGTTTTGGACGGTTTCTGCTTGTATACAGCGTTTGATCTGTGCATATTTCTCTCCTAATTCAGACGAGACAACTTTTCCACTGGAGGAAGCAATATTATAGACAGACGACTCATATTTTAGCAATGGTTTGAAGTTATAAATGTCTTGATGGATTTGTTTCTTATAAACATGCAGCTACTCATTTCATAAAATGTTAATTGACGGACTGGAGTGGTGTGGATTACTGTAATGTTTTTATCAGCTGTTTGGACTCTCATTCTGACGGCACCCATTCACTGCAGAGGATCCATTTGGCGAGCAAGTGATGCAATGCTTAATTTCTCCAAATCTGTTCTCTTGATGAAAAACTCATCTAGATCTCGGGTGGCCTGAGGGTGAGGAAATCTTCAGCAAATTGTTTTTTTTTTTTGGGGGGGGTGAACTCTTCCTCTAAGTCTGTTTTTGTGGCTTCGGGAAGAAAATAAAATGCCACAAACACGTCCCCTATGATGCACTTCGGGAAAACTCCGTTTTCTAACTCGATTCTTAATAAAGAAAGCATTTGGGACTCAATAAACACAAGATGACGCAAGTAGGAATTTGCAGCTGTGATGCTGCTTTAATAATGTCTGTAGGCATTAGTTTTCTAGAACTGACGTTAATCTGTCAGCCCATCCTTAACACAGATGCTGTAGGTTGACGTTCACTTAGGATTGTTTCTGGTCTTTAAAGTTCACCGGTTTGGACTTAGAACCGGACTAGGAGAACTTTGGACTTACTGATGTTCTCGAGTCTCTAAACGGCAGCTCTCGCAAGAGCTGCAGGTGGGCCAGGAGAACGCTGTGCTTTCATCCACTGCTACAACCACGCCTGCACATTAACATAAGCAAATTACCCAGAATTAAAATCATTTCATTGACACACTTAATTCAAATCACTTAAACCATGCATTGATTTAGTAACTAACACAGTAATATGTGCACTCTTAAAAAATAAAAGTTCCAAAAGGGGTTTTTCACAGTAATGTCATAGAAGATTCATTTTTGGTTCACGTTTCAGGTGAAAAAGAACCATTTTTTGGATCCTTTGGTGGAATCAATGTTAAAGGTTCTTGATGGAACCATATATTTATTTTTCAAAATGTAGTCTTTGGGAATTGAGATCCTCACTGCTATTTTTACCCTTCTGATTTGACCTACTACTGAGAAATTAATGATGAAATATTAAACACAAATAAATTATCAACAAATAATCTATGACTTTGTTTGTTCAGACTTCTGCTGAGAACTTTAAATTTAGGCTCTGCACGGACATTTTCTGACAAATAACATCGTAAAATCAGTAAGACGCAGCACACAAACACACATCTGTGTTATATAATAGACAGCAGGCAGAGTGATAAGACCCCTGCGTGAACCTCTGCTCTCTGGAGGATCCTCCGGCACGCAGCCAGAAGCTGAAGTTGCTGACCACTGCAGAAGATAATTTGTGCTTGTTACACTTTTGAGGCAGATGATTTGTCTTATCTTTAGGAGTTTCAAAGTCTAACATGGAGTGTCAAATATCGCATTTCTATCCTCTAATTGAACATGGAACAATCTAAACATAATGTCTGTGTGGATGACAAAATCAAAGCATAACATGACATAATAGAATCTGTATTTATCGCCTGATGTCCTGGGTCATTCACAGGGATTTCAGCTTGAATAACTTCATTCAGTAGTTTTGAACATTTCCTTAAAACAGATTTAATCTTAATCTGTAATGCATTAATGCAAAACAAGGGCAGGTCATATTTCACCCCAAAAGCAAAAGAAAAAATTATTTATTTCTGATAAAGAAAATAATGCATTTTTTTTGGACCATCAAGGTTTTGCTGTTTTTGTAATTCATTTAAATAATTGAATTAATTATTTTAATAAATACTACCATTATGTATACATACATTACAATATAATGAAAAATATTTACTTATTACTAGTAATTATTAAAATCATTACTAATATAATTTATGAATTTTTCAATTACAATAATGAGATTATGAAAATAATGTCCAAATGCAGATACACACACACACGTATATATATATATATCAATAAAATAAAATAAATCAATTAAAAATAAAAATAAATAAGCAATTAAAAAAATAAAGAAACATTTTTACACAATATTCACTCAAAGTTCTCTAAAAATATTCAAAATGTTCATTATCCATTGAGAAGTCTGTTGGTAGATTTTCTGGTAAAGATAAAGTATGCCATTTCTGTACCACAAGATAATTTTTGGAAAATTATTATATAATAAATATAATATTATATTTATTAAATGTATTATATATACTGTACATTGGAGAGAAATTCTAACTACTAACTATACATACATTTTTGTTCTGTTTTCTGCCCCTATATGACATAGGCTTATGTGTTTAATCGATTAATATGTCAAGACGGTCTCTTCCTGTCTAACTGGACAGCTCTCGGTCAAAAATCAAGTCACAAATATAAGACTGTTTTCCATTTTCTGAATGGTACATTTTTAGATATGTGGTATTAGTGATGAAATTTGAAAAGCAATGAAATAACTCTCAAAAACTATTTATCCTAAGAAAATGGTCAATATTCGTGGATCATTAAAAAAATGAAACAATATAGAGAGATGGCATCACTTTGCATGAGTTAATATAAGGGAATGTACAGAACACTTTGTAACAAAATGTGACTTTTATATCTCAAAACCAGGCAAGAAGACAACTTCAACATGTGGGAGAAAGATCTTTAAGGAGGAAAAGCAAATAACAAACCACAAGAAGGTCCCTAACAAAGCATCAAGAACAAAGCCTGAGCCAACAAACAACTGGTTTTGTTTAAATGAACAAACATGCTGTACCCCCCTGAGATCTGGTTCGTACCAACTCCTCAAAAATAAGGGAGGCTGTGGGGGAATATACCAACCTGTGACAGTGCAGAGAGAGTATGTGAGGGTTTCTGGACCCAGGTGGTCCAGTATGATGGGCCGTGGTATGGAGAAGGATGAGTCCTCTGGTTCCAGTTGGATCACCGTCTGTTCCCAGCAGAATATCTGAGCTGGTTTACGAAAAAGGAGCAGTAGCTTAATGTCACGGAATGTTCTACAGTCCTGGCTCTGAGAAATAACAACACTTAGATTAATGTAGGAAAGCTCTAAATCTCAAAATAGTTCAGACATGAAGAAGCAACCACAGAGATTTTCAGCTTGAATGGCTTCCATTCAGTAGTGTTGAACATTTCCTTAAAAACAGAATTTTTAATGCATTATAAAGTATTTGTGGCTGCATCTCAAAAAAACATGTCCAGGTCATATTTCACCCCAAAAATCAAAAGAAAAGAAAAAAGGAAGAAAAGTGAAACCTATTTTTAGGACCATTTTGTGACATATTGAGCACAAATTCCTATTTGTTTTTGTTTTTTAAATCAATCATTTAAATAGATACTCTCATCATGTATAAAATGCATTATGTAAAATATAAAATGATTTATTCTAACTTAATATATAGTATTATTATTTGCACATACCAGTAATGATTTATGAATGACATGAAAATAATGTCACAATGTATAATGCACTATAATACCTTATAATCAGTGTATTAAGTATTATTTGGAGACTAATATAGTTTTAATTTTTATATTTTTTGTATTTCTGTTTATTTAACTGAAAGTTTTAACTAAATGTAGTAGATCATTTTTGTGTTTTTTATTCTTTTTGTTGTATAGTTTGTATTCATGTTGTATTTCAGTTTTAGCACATCAAGTTAAACTAAATTAAAATAAGAAACGTTGCCTTGGCGACTAGATGAAATGAAAAGATTTTAGGTTTTAATTTGAAGTAACAATTTTTTTTTGTTTTTGATTTTTGTTTCAGATTTTGTTAACCTTAATAACTCAGAAAATCAGGATGTTTTAATTGCAGATTTACAAAATGTGATATATATGGTTATTTGTGTGTGTGTGTGTGTGTGCGTGTGTGCGTATATATATATATATATATATATATATATATATATATATATAGATAGATAGATAGATAGAGTACAGTGCAAAAGTCTTAGGCCACTAGTATTTTCACAAGTCAGTTATTTCTGTTTTGCTGTAGTGTGTCAGTAGGAAATATCAGTTTACATTTCCAAACATTAATTTTGCTATTAATTGTAATAATTCAGTGAGATTTTTGTCTGACAACAGCCAGTGCTCCACACAGAGATCTGATCTCATCATCATCAGTCTGTCTGGAATGACATGAAGAAACGGAACAAACTGAGACAGACTCAATCCAGAAGAACTGTGCCAACGTCTCCAAGACACTTCGTGTCAGGTGGTTCATGGCCTCCACGTCGTGCATTAAAATTAGTTAGCTGTGCATTATCCCTTATATATATACTGTATATATATATATAAAACTGGCTTTACAATTATGATTTGCAAAGAGGTACCAGTTACCAGAGGCACTGTTAATTATAATACTTCAGAATTACTACCATGATGTTAGACTGAACTAGTAATTAGCAAGTCCTTCGAAATGCACAGTGTCAGTATAAAAAGCTGTGCATGAGACAATACCTTCAGACAGCTGACGTGTTCATGTATGTCTAACAGGTGAAATACCATTCTCCTTCACGGCGTCTCTGAACATCAGAACAGGCTGTGTCTGCAGGGCGTCCAGGGCCTGTGTGACTGAGCTCTGGATCAGGCAGGACGGGCTCAGACACACGGCTACGGTTCTCCTGTTCCCATCTGTGTTTGGCTCCCTTTGTAGACTGGGATCTGTCACAAAAAGCAGCATCTCCCTCTCACCTGCATTTGAGCTCTGCAAGACCAAGATGCATGTGTAAATCAGTGAAATGTATAAATTAAATAAATTAGCATGAACTGACTTGAGATTTTAAGATTAGCACTGGAATATGCCTTTCAATATATAATGAAATTGTCTCTTTTCAAATATGTAGACAAAAATATTGTGTAAAATTGAGTATATCTCATGTGCAGGAATTCAAGAACGAAAGAAATTATTATAATATTTCAATATGACAAAATAATCTATATATTAGGTAATACTATGTTACAGCACAATTTTGGGACATAACATATAAAAGCATAAAAAGCTGCTCAGATAAACGGAAAATGTCTAAGGAAAAAAAGATAAAAATGTGTTTATAGTAATAAAAAATTTTTTTTTTATATATTATATTATATTATCTGCATATTATTATATTATATTATTTTTTAATAAATGAGAGGGACACTGGCCTTTACTAGATTGTTTTATAATTCATGTATAAGCAAATTTGTGGAAAATATTGGTGTTTATCAAACAGAGGTCTGAATACACAAGGCTAAATAAAACTTTTGTTTTGCCTCATTTATAAAGACATAAATCTGTCATTATCAGAGGAAAAATGCTTTAGGGGCCGTTTCCCAGACAGGCTGTTCCTTCATACACCTACGCTGATGTGCAATGTCAATAGCAAAGCAAACAGAGCGAATCAAAACAAAACAAAAAAGGTTCATCTACTATCCACACGAGTGTGTATGCATGACCCTTAACCTCCTACAAATAAATCCCAGGTTATCAAAGTCCAAAGTCTGAGGGTCTGCTAGATCAGTCAAACAGATTGTCAATGGATGATGTCACTTACGGGAAGCTTGCGACAAACAGTGCGTAAAGCTTTCTGAAAGCTTTTCCAAAGGTGTACAGTTTGGAAGCAACCCTGAGGGATGAGGACTTGGCAAATGTGCTGGGAAAACAGCTACGGTGGGTTCTTAAGAAGACAAACTATAGGCAAAGCTAAGAACTATTTCCCACACTCTTTAAACCAGGCATGCCAAGACATCCCACAAAGATATAGCTATGATAAAAAATGATCTGATTCATGCATTTGTTGTTAAAATAGGTTGAGAAAACATTACCAGTAATTCTTTATGAACCACAGTGGCCCGAAAGCTGCAATGACACCTCGAAGATTCATCCTAAAAAACAAAGAAAGAATCATTCAAAAATCTTTACATTAAAATTAAATTCTTTCATGGTTTGCACACCACTGTTGGTACTGTTAAAACCTAAAACTATTAAATATCATTTTCATTAATTGAAAAAAGCTGAAATAAAACAAAATATAAATATCAGATTAAAAACATACATAAAAAAAAAAACACTTAAAATTTGGAAATATTACATTGGAAAATAAATGAAATAAATACTCAAATAAATAGGTTGAAGTACTAAAACTGAAATAAAAATAAATATTACATATATATAGATAATAAATATTTATCAAATAATAAATAATAATACAAATAAATATAACTAATAAAATAGCTACTAAAAATGACAAAATTACTCAAATCTAAACTAAAATGAAAACTGAAAATATAAAGACTGAAGCTCATTCAATATGAAAACTACAAATGTATATAAATAATACTAAAATAATATAACACTGTTTCACACCTTTCGAAGCAATTCATTTTCAATAAATTAACATTACTGGATAATGATCTTTAAAATTGATTTAAAAAATATATAAAATGATATAATAACTGCACTCATAAAGAGTCATTTAATAATTATTTTATTTATTTTTGTTCTCAGCATAATTAGAAAAAAATATATATATATACGTAAAAATCTTCAAGTATATATACACTACAGTTCAAAAGTTTGGGATCAGTAAGACTTGTAATGTTTTTTTAAAGAAGTCTCTTATGCTCATCAAGGCTGCATTTACTTGATCAAAAATACAGAAAAGAAACAGCAATCTTGCAAAATGTTATTACAATATAAAATAATGGTTTCTATTTTAATATCCTTTAAAATATAATTTATTTCTGTGATGCAAAGCTGAATTTCCATCATCATTAGTCCAGTCTTCAGTGTCACATGATCCTTCAGAAATCATTCTAATATGCTGATTTATTATTAGAATTATCAATGTTGGCAACAGTTGTGCTGCCAAATATTTTTAAAAGATTTCTATTTTAAATAAATGCTCTTCTTTTTAACTTTTTATTCACCGAAGAATCCTGAAAAAAAAGTATCACAGGTTCCAAAAAAATATTCAGCAGCAGCAGTACAATATCTCACGGTTCTCAACCAATCAGATTTGAGAACCAGAACGAACTGTTGTATAAATATATATACTGTATATATATATATATTACAGAAAATCTCAAAGTTCTTTGATATTTCCAGGTTTTTCTTTATTTTGTCATTTATTTGTTTAAGCATGTCTACTAAAAGAGGTTTCTGTCAATCTGTTTGTTTTGTCATTTTGAGTGCTGCACCTGAAGGATCTCTCTTAGCGTCTGAAGTACAGGTGGTCGGTACAGTGGAGATTCAGTCTGTCCAGATAACGGAACCATGTGTCCCAGCTGGACACTCAGCCTATAGCAGAAACAGGGCGGTGGGACTCGATCCTGGAAAGCAAAAACTGGCCTGACTATTTAAAAATCAAGTAGTTCGTTAAATAGTTCAGAAGGGTCATTTTATGGAAACAGACTAATACCATTTATCTCTGTCACCCAAAGTAAAGCTCCCTTCCCAGTCAACTTAGAATATTTATAGAAACAAAACAGCAAAAACGCTCATTCAGAAGCCACCATAAGCTCATTAACATATGACTGCCTAGATTTGCATATATTTACATCACTTGAAGGTTCAAAAGTAGCGTCTTTCAAGATACAAAAGGATATTAAAATGCTATGAATAGTAGAAAATGTTACTTTAAAGCTGCTTTTTTAAACCCAAGGCAGAAAAAAGGCCTAATAAACGATGAATGTAATTACTTATCTGTCCCAAGCAACACATTATCTACAAAACAAGCAGATTTTAATGGCGAAAAACTGGAGATACAGTTTATATTCATGACATTCTGATGTGTAGGTCTCTCGTTCAGTGTAAGTCTAAGGGATTTGTTGCCTGTTAGGTGAAAATTTGAAGCATAAATTCATGTCTGGTATGGGACGAGGCGCATTGCAAAGTTTAATACTCAGCTTCAGGGGTTTGTTTAAATCACTAACTCTTAGTACGAGAAATTGCAGTAATGTTTGTCTTCGCAACCACCGCTAATGAGTAATTTTGTGTTTTTAAGCTCTGAAGGTTTATTTATATGTGCTTTAGTTAAGAATGCAGCGCGGCGGTTGTTTTGACGTTGTACTGCCGCTATCCAGGAGGAATCTTCCAGAAGCAAGAGGTATGCGAGATAAATATGAAGTAAACACGACTGTGATTTACGATGTGATCTGAAAACCTACACTGGGAGACTGCAGAAGATCGTCATGAGATTTTGGATCAACTGGAGGAGGCCACAAACTGTCAATCATACTGAAGAGTGGAGAACATCTGCAAAGAGAAGAGAGAGGAAAAGAAATAAGGTTTCAATCTCTGAATGTTCAAATTCAGGGGTCCTTCCAGAAATGCGGGAGCCGGAGGTGGAGCGTATACACTGTCAGTCTCATTAGCTTCGGTTGGACTGACGTGCTGCCAAGTTGAGCTTCTGTTGGAGCTGAATAGTGTCTGCTGACAAGTACAAGATCAGTTTCACTAGCAGGTTGAGGCTTGTTCACACACATACACACACACACACACACTCGCACACACACACACTCACACAGGTAAATAATCTGTCATTAAAACATCCAAGAATTTAATTATCACTATTCAAAATGCTGATCATTTAATATTTGGCAGGCCAAATGTTATTTTAACACTCCAAATTCGAGTTTATGCTACTGACAAAACATCTCAGACTGACTGACATACAGACAAAAGGACAGAGATTAGCTCCGTCTGTGTTTGATTTAATAGATTGACAGATAAACACTCCAACAATATGACAATTATAACGGATATTGCGCAAGTAGGTATCAGGGTTATTATCGTTAACGAAAACTGAAACTGTTAAAAACTTTTTGGTAACTGAAAAATGTTAACTTTTTGGTACATTAAACATTTTAGATGAAAAACTAAAGGAAATTTAGAAATGAACTGAAATAAAAACTCAAACTAAAACTGAAATAAAAATAAAAATAAATTGAATCTAAATAGTTATAATAATAATTTAAACAATACAAAAATAAAAAAACATCCTAATAAAAAAGCACATAACAAAATTACCAAAGATTAAGCTAAATTTAAAAAGAAAGCTGAAAATATAATAAGAAAAATAACTACTGGTAATTCAAAATATTAATAAAAAATAAATAGTAATGTTTGTAAAAAAAAAAAAAAAAAAAAAAAAAAAAAATTTTTTAAAAAAAAAAAAAAAAAAAAAGGCAAAAGCATAAAATTACTACAATTTAAGCTACAATTAAAAAATAATAAATCTGAAAATGTAAAAAGAAACACTAAAAAATATTATTTAAAAAGATTCATTTAAATAGTAATATTTTAAAAAGTAATAAAAATGACAAAAGCACATAAAAACTGCAAATGTTAAACTAAAATTAAAAAGAGACTAACAACATAAAAATAAAAGCTAATTCAAAATACTGACAAAAACTATTATAGTATATATAGGGTATTCAAGTTGCTATATGGCTGTTTGGAGATCATAAGAAGATCTGTTTTCATTACAGATCAAATTTAGTTTCTGGATTCTTAAAAGCTCCCTTACATAGATGGATTTCTAGATCGCAAGAATAAAATGTTCTTAGTGGAGCTTAAAAAGCGTTCTTGAACCCTGTGTGTGCCTCAGTGCAGAATGATCTGATCCCTCACAACCAGTTCCACAGCTGTCTTAATCCTCACCTCTTCCCTTGACCCGCTCAACCGCCCTATCCAGTCCAGCGGGACGAGCCCTCGCTGAAAACACTCAACATACTGAGAGAATCAGACTGAAATGAAGCCATATAGCTTATGTCTTGCAGTACAGACAATCATACTGTTCATTTCTGGAGAAAGTTGTCTATTCCTGAGCATTAACTCCAAAAAAAAATCACATTTTCACCCTGAGTATTTTGTTTTTACATGTATGCATTTAACAGATGCTTTTATCCAGAGTGACTTGCAAAAGAGAAACAAAGCAATTTCTCAAAGAGCCAACAATGCCAGGTTTATTAGACAACTATTAAAAAGTAGATTTTTCTTGAAACAGCATTCAGAATTAGAAAAAACACGATGAAAAAGAGAAGTTGAGCTAGATCAATGTAAGAAGGTGCGATACAGAGCCTTTCCCTATACATAACTGAGCCAAACATGCACTAAATCATCTATTTAAGGTGTAGTTCGACAAAAAATTTAATTTTGAATCAAATTAAAATAACATTTTGTCATTTATTTTTGCAAATAGAAATAATGCTGAAATAATATTTAAATATTTGATGAAACTAATGGATTAAATGGACTAAATTTACTAACTGGTAATAAATAAAAACTAAAAGTGAACTAAAACAAAAATAAATTAAACCTAAATAGTAATATTAAAAAAAAACTAATAAAACAGATCTGACAAAAAGTATAAAATGACTAAAAATTAACTATAATTATTATATTAAACCTAAAAATAAAATCTAATTGAATAAACATGAATAAAAACTATAATAGTATATAAATGATAATAAAATAACAGGTTCCAAATGAGGTACATCCATAGAAGACAAAAGGAGATATTAGTCATAAAGTCCAGGCTGCTCTTTTCCATACAATGAAGTTGTAAGTACAAAAAGTGTGATAAAATGACCATGAAAGCAGTCTAAATTACTTCTGCATTGAATTTCAAGTGCTCTAAAACCATCATTCACTCGCTTTATGTGAAGAAAAGACTAGAATTTAAGATGTTATTTATTGAAAATCTTCCCCTTCTCTAATATTATCAGCAAATAACTACTAAAATTAAAATTTTTCTTCAAATAAAGCAATCATGCTTTAAAGGACATATATGTTCTTATTGTCTTTTTGGAGACTGACAGTCCCAGTCCCCACTCACTTTCATTCTATGGGCATCTCTCAAAACACAACATGAAGTTTTGAAGTGCAAGAGCAAGATAAAATGACCATGAAAGCAGTCTAAATTACTTCTGCATTGAATTTCAAGTGCTCTAAAACCATCATTCACTCACTTTATGTGAAGAAAAGACTAGAATTTAAGATGTTATTTATTGAAAATCTTCCCCTTCTCTAATATTATCAGCAAATAACTACTAAAATTAAATTTTTTCTTCAAATAAAGCAATCATATGGCTTTAAAGGACATATATGTTCTTATTGTCTTTTTGGAGACTGACAGTCCCAGTCCCCACTCACTTTCATTCTATGGGCATCTCTCAAAACACAACATGAAGTTTTGAAGTGCAAGAGCAAGTAAATGATGACAGAATTTCTTCAAGTGCCCTAACCCTAATCTCCACAGACCCTGTTCACCATATAGATGGCCACTGATCCCAAATAAGCAGTGCATGCTGAAAGGCATCTTGGGTATTCGTGTACAAGGCTCATGTTCATATCTGTGGAAACGTGTCACCAGAATATCCCATCACGTGCCACCTTCAACTTAAACAACATATGTTAAAGCAGTGACCACCAAGCAGACAAGCTTGAGTGAGCAGACGCATGTGGCGAGAGGCCAATCTAATACTCAACGCAGATGTAAATCTAGCAGGCTGGAGTGCTGCAAACACACTGACACTGTGAGCTGCTAATCTGAGCCCGAGCAGGTGGAAATAGGAGCCCATATTAACTTTCAGTTCAATGGAGTACAGTAAGGTTGACTAATCATTCACAAATAGTGCAGAAAACAGGGCACAGCTAGACAAAATATGAAGATATGCTGTTTGAATACTAAACAAATAGTTGGATTTAGGAGGATAAATACATTTTATTTCAAATTTACTCTTTATAGTTTAATTTATAAATCATAATAAATAAATATGACTTAATTCATAACTTTATATCATGTAAATAAATTATATATATATCACACACACATAATATAAACATATTCATAAATATTTAAATAACTATGACTATTCATAATTATATTATGTACATTTATATAATTACATTAATAACAACAATTTGAAAAAATATTTATATGAAAATACATGACAAAGAATAATATAATATATAAATCCAGCAGGCATTTGAGTTGTTTTGCAATATAATATATATATATTGTTGCTATTGTCCTAATTTGAAAGTAGCTTTTTATAAAAACATCTGCTAAATGATGCATGTAAAAATAAAATAAAATAAAAGGATGCTTTAAAATAATATTTTTCAGATCAGCGGGATGTTTTTAGTGTCATGTGATTATATCAGACTCACTTGTCGCGTGTGAGACGCTGGACGACTCTCAGGGCCTGGAGGAGACACACATGGCCCTCCAGCTGCTCCGAGTTCTGCTGGATCTCTGATTCTGTGGACACACAGTGCAGAAGAACCTCACCGAACATCCCGTAACTGTCCTGAACTAGAGCACACAACCTGAGAAAGAGAGGGAAAACAATCACTTTCAACCATTAAACAACCTTTAGTAAATTTTTCCCTACTGCTTTGCACTACTGATTTAGTTTCAGTATCTAATATTACTTATTTACTCCATTTGCACTACTGTTATTTAACTTTATTTTACTCATTACTTTTGCAACATAAATGTTCAGTATTTTATTGTGGCAATAATAAAGCACACTAAACTAAAATTAAAATGGCAAGGAAGAGAGTGGTTAAGAAAGACTGAAGTTGTGACTACCTTTCTAAAATTCCAGCAGGCATTTGAAATTATTATGACAAACTGTATTTATAAATAAACTGCCCAAAATGAAGACCTGCAAATGTGAGTCTCTGATGAAGAGGGAAGCTTCATCCCAACAACAAACACTCACATAGATACAGACACTGTCTGCAGATTAAATGTTGACTTTGGCACCAGAGAGGGCCTAAATAATAACTTGATCTATGGACTGACTCGCAGCGGTCACATGGCCGTGTTTCTATACTCAAAATGATATTTTTACAGGTATTAATAGTCTCTACAGATAGTCAGTTCACAGAAACTGGTGACTTTTTTGGAGCCAGTAAACCACAGGACTAAACAAACAGGCTGGTATTTAAATATACTTTCACATGCTAGACAGTGATTTGATTGCACAGTAGAGATATCTATAGTAGAATACGAAAATAAACACAGTTGATTCGAACATTCTTCACACTGATTTGAAGACTATTGTTTAGTTTAAAAAGTGCTTGCAAAGCACAACTGCATTGATATTCCTGAAATCATCTACTTTTATTCTTTTTCTTGTCCACATTTTCTGCAAATAATTCAGCTCAAACCAATTAATGTGCAGACCAATAACAAACACTGTTTAGTATACTGTTTAGAACAGAGATTCACAAACTTTTTGTCAGCCGAACCCCTTTGACCCAAAAATATTTACTTGAAGTGCTTTTTTAAATGTAAATATTTCAATAACTCAACAACACTCATTCGTTCACGGTTTTCTGATGTTAGTTAATGGTCACATGGCATGGAAAAACAAATAAAATATTTAAAAAAAATTTATTAAGGGCCAGATTTACTAACAGCTTGCACCAGCACAAACCGTCTTTTGTCATTAAAATAGTACTGTCAGGATTTATTACTTTCTGCCTATTTTCTTATTGATTTCTGTCCATTATCTCAGCTTTTGTTGCAAAAGGCATCACAGAAGTTTAATTATGTGCTCATATGCAGAGTCGACAGAAAACAAGATTCTCTCAAACTTCTTATCAGATATGAATCAGTTTCAATATTCCCATTAATTTCTCTTTATTTATCTCATCAATTTCTCTCATCTTTTGCTAAAGGTGACAAGAAGATGTGCTGATTCACACGCAAAGCTGATAGAAAACAAGATTCACTGGATTTCTTTTGATTTATGTTCCGTAGTGTTCAAAGAAGCTGCTCGGATATGAATCAGTTTAAATTTTACAGCAATCTCAATTTTGCTATTTAGTCATTTAACATCTATACTGTCGTCCACCCCCCCCCAACTCGAGCCAGATTAGGATAAAACAATGAAGTTTCTGGTTAACAAGTCAAGTCACAATACAGATACAGATTGTGTCAAAGCAGCTTTACAGTGTTAAACGACAAAATAATGTTTCAATGATGTGGACAAAATTCAATTCTGCTGTAAAGCAGCTCTAAAAAAAGAGGACAATAGTAAACAGTCAATTTTCCAGTAACCGTCAGTTCATTGTTGATTCAGTTCAGTTTAATAACTGTGTGAAGTTCATCAATTATGGAATGAGTTTAATTCTTCTATAAAGCAGCTCTGTAGGAAACAGTGATGTCATTATCCATTAACATAAAAAAAGCAGGTAAACGCGATAAAAGCTAACAATGGCGCGATACGAGATGACCTTTGATAAACCATGACTGGCATATCTGGATTCAACCTGAGCTGTTGTTACCCTGTTGTAGCGCTGCTAAAGAACACGGGGCTTAAGTGAGTGCGGTTGTGAACACTGAGGCTTGTTTAGACCCGTGTGTCTATGAATCCGGAGAACAGGAGGGGTGACTGGACAGTAGCATTTTGTGGTATGGCCAAGTTGACATAAACAACCCCCTTCTTTATTCCCCTTTTCAGGCGCTTCCTTCAACGGAGCGGGACTGGGGGGCCGATGCCCCCACCGGGTCTCTGTCACTGGTCAGCTGCAGTCACTAGTCACTTTCAGGAATCTATTATTGTGAGCATTCGCAGGAATTCGCAGCGACTTGGAGGCGCTTCCAGGAACTGTGATCCATTGAGCTTGTCCAAACACTCACACACACACACACATTTCACACAACCACTCCCCCTCCATTTCCTTCACACATGCACCAAAACTTCTCTGGCAGCTGATTGGCTGAGGCGCAATGGGCGGGATTCCTTCCGGCACGGCTCTGGCCAATGGGAGCAGAGCTTTTGATAAACAGGGCTGTAACCCGACACGTAAAGCACATTGTGTTCCACATCTTCTAGAAAACATCCAACCCCTCCTGTCTGAGCACAGAGAACTTCTTCAGCCTGTTTATACTGCTCTGAGTTTTTACTGGAACAACATATCTTCTTGGGCCCAAAGTTAAATGCTAATTATTGTCTGGAAACTGGCCACAAAAACTCAAGGAGGAGAAAGAAACATAATGAAAAAAAAAGGCAGGACGTAACTGCAAAGTGGTTGTAATGAGACCGGTGGTCTTGTTGAAGCACACACATGAAAAGAATAAATATTGTCAACATCTAAGCTGCATATGGAGGGTATAAACATGGAAAATGGATTTCAAGCATATGCTTATAATCTCAATTTTAAGCATGAGTGTAGTGCACTTATAAACAGAGCCAAAGACAGCTCCAAAATAAGAAACAATATGTGCATTTTACTAGTGTTATTAACTAAAACTTAACCTATAAACCTAACCTTGAAATTGTTTCTGTTAATTAAAGTAAAGCTGAAATAAAATAAAATGAAGTGTAAAAACCTTTAGAAATGTTACTGAATAAAATAAAACATAATATAATAGAAATAATATATATATATAATAAAACTAAATATTACAATGACTGACATAAAATAAAATTATAAATAATAATAAAATAACAGCTTTTTACTGTGGTGTCACCAGACAAACAAATAAATATGAATATATTAAAGCTCACAGTTTAGCTTCAGAAATAAGTTTGGGAAAGATTGAGAACTAGGGTGACAGAATAGTAGAAAAGTACCAGTAAAAATATAAACCATCTCCTCAGTATAGCAAATGAACAAACATGGAGTATTTTCTTCAAAAAGTCTCAAATTAAACAGAGGTGCTGCTATATGGTGTTGTAAGGGAGTTTTAGGTGGTTAGTTACTAGTCCAAGGCAAAAGAGCATCACCCGATATAGCTGAGATCCATTCTTCAACGTAAGTATAGATCACTAGAAATAGTGATGGTTGCCTTAGCAACAACTAAATCGCTTAGATAAAAAAAGTGAGGTGCAGAAGTTGAACTGAACACTGTCAGCTGACCCAATCTGACTCAAACTGGGCCAACAAAATACGCAGAAGGAGATAATTTATAGTTCTGAAAAAAAAAAACACACAAGTCAATGTTATTTCTCTTCATCTGAAAACTTTGGCCAAGACAAATCAAATCATGAGGGAGCAATAATGGGATGGCATAATCAAGTGATACTGCACAGAGTGTCATCTTGAACATTTGCATGACTATGTTTAAATGTATAAGTGCATTTATGCATCTGAAAGATGCTTTTACTGATGTGCACCATGTGCTACCAGCTGAACTATAGTAATACAACACCATTACTCCATTGTATATTCAAAACAGTGTTAAAAGTAACAATGTACTGTTTACATAAATTACTCATCTGTTTATGTAACAGCTAGACACAACCCAAAACAAAGATTAAACCTATTTGCAATTCAGATTGCAAAAATATTTGATTTTCTTTTCTTTTTTTGACATGATAAAAAATAAGAATTAGACTACAAACAGAAAAAAATTACCCTGTACTATTACTATTATTAACAAAATAATATAATAATAATAATCGTTATTATTATTGAAATCATTCTAAAACAACTTAAGCAAATAAACAAGCAGTATTATTTTCAAAAAGTGCAAAAGGAAACAATACTGTCACACTTTCTGAGAGCGACCTGCCCATGTAAAACTTGCAGATATTAATAATAATAATAATAATAATGACAACAAAATAATATATAATAATCATTATTATTATTGTCAATTTTTCTCTAAAACAACTTAAGCTAATAAACAAGTAGTATTTTTTTTTAAGTGCAAAAGGAAACAATACTGTCACATTTTCTGAGAGCTACCTGCCCATGTAAAATTTGCAGCTATTATTATTATTATTATGACAACAACAAAACAATATGCAATAATAATAATAATAAAGGAAATACTGTCACATTTTCTAAGAGCTACCTGCCCATGTAAAACTTGCAGCTATTATCATTATTATTATTAATAGTTTTATGAAAATAATAATAGTGAAAAAAGCAACAAAAATATTTAGTTTTTATTATTAATAATAAGAACAACAACGATCATAATAAAAGTGTGTTTTTTCCCTTTGCAATTTATTATTATTTATTTTAATGTCAAAAACAAATCAATCATTCAAATAGGTTCTGCATATAAGACATTGAATACTTGCTCATAAATCGTCTTGGTCTTGGATTGACGAGTCTTAAAAAAATCTCATTCTCAGAGATCATGAGACTGCTTTACGAGAAAAGAGAATTTATGAGAAAAAAAACAGGGAGTGAGTGGCACACATGAGCGAATGTCATCTAGTCATGTGCTGGGGTCTGATAAAAATGTTATGTATCGTGTGTATGTGTTGGCTCCATCTTTGTCAGCACCAGCTTTGGTCCAGTCAGGGTTCCCCCTGTCAACACACACTCCATACCACAGTGTTTGGTCTTCCTGAGCTCCAAGTGTTTACGGTATGCTGTAGCATCTGACACAGATCCGGTTACCGACAGTCAAATGACTCTTTTTCCATCACCCTTCATCAACACAACACCACGTGCATTTTTTGACAACAAAACAACGTGTCCCAGAGCAGTGGAGAGATCAGGGGGCACGTGAGGGAGTAGAACGTGGACGCTTAACCTGTGGAAATGATTTCAATCTTGCTGAATTCATGCAGCATGTGTGTAATTAAAACCTGCACAGTACACTGACACTGACAATGCAGTAAAAAGAGAAACAGATTTGGTTTCCGATTGTCTTGCGCTCACCATTGAACCGTTTAATAACAAACCTCTGACTGTAAAGGCACCTACACAGAAAAAGCTCAGATGGAACATCTGACAGATAGGAATGCATAAGATTCATTTTGAGGGTGCAGAAAGAGCCGTGTCACTAGGGGTGTGCAATATCTATCATCTACGTCATTGTTGCTTTAATGATGTGCAAACTGACATTATTTAGTGTAGTATTATTTAGTCACTCAATAAATTTAACAAAAACATGTCTTGAGAGTCAAAAAGCATTCACTGAGTGATGAAGTCTATTAGAATGTAGTTAGAATGCTCATATAATCCAAGTTATGACGGCAAAAATGTCCCTGTATAGGTTTCTGTTTTTCATATTTATAAGATATCATATAATTTAGTGATAGCACAACAAGCTAGAATGCTGTTTTCCCGAATATCAGCATGTGAGAATGATTGTGAATTTGTAATTTTAGACACAATATTCTCTTTTTTTTTCTGTTTCGCCAACGAAAATAGTTCCACATAAAGCCGGAGTAGAACTGTTGGAGAATCCATGGAATAGGATTAAAAATGTACTATTGTGCCTCAAATTCAGAATTTTTATAGAATACTGTCGTCAAAGACGCCATTTGAAGCTAAACGCAGATGTGCACAGACTATGGATGAAACCTGCTGATTACCCTACTTTTAAAGCATAAATTTGGTTTAAACAATGGGCCTCATTCATGAAACAGTCGTAAATATAGAAGTAAATTCTGAGTAATTTGCGAGTAAAACGGACCTTTCCGAAAACTCTCCTCTGGATTCACAAACGCTTCGTAAACTTCCGATTTGATAGTTAAACATGCGTACGTTAATGAATTCCAATGATTCGTAAATAGGGCGCTCGTGCACGCTCATTCACAATTACCATAATCCCCACTTATAATTACAGCTACGCAAATTGCGTGTCCAGGAACGCAGTGGAATATTCTGGTCTACTTTCTCAGGTTTGGCTCCAGTATATTGCATAAATGCAAAAGAGACTAATAGGCCATATGCCTAACAATAAATATTTAATAACGTGTGTCCACCAAAGCGTTTTTAGCCAGCTGAAAAATGTCAGGCGCTCTTCTGAAAACGACCAGCTGGTGGTGCTGGAGGACGCTTTGGTGGCACAGCCTTTTTCCAGCTGAGACACTTTGATTGCTATGATTTGGAATATCCACGGCAGTAACGCATTACTAGTATCTCATTTTGAAGAATATTACTGAATATAAAAATGCTCTATTGTTGTTCAGTTGTTGTACAAGTAGGATGATTGGTCGGTGTAGCCTAGTATTTGTCCCGCCCCTCCTCCATTGATTGGACGGCTGGGTAAAAAGTGACAGTAACAAGCGCTGCGTTTTACCCAAAGCTAAACAGTTTATCAACTCAAAACAGAGCAAACGAACTTGTAAAATATTATGATGGCAGTGCATCAAAATTCAGTGTCATCAGTTTGCCAAAAAGAACACAGAACGTTTTACGCACCAATTATACATGGTAGGTAGCAGGTGTAAATTTCTTTCGTACCAACTAACATTTTGAAAATACGAACACTTTCATGAATCCGAAAATTTACGTCAGAACAGCTTTACGAACGATTTACACAAAAATGTGTTCTGCTCGTGTTTCATGAATGAGGCCCAATATGTTTACATAATATTCACATATGCAGACGTATTGTATTAGCCCTACAGTTACAGCATTAAATACTATTTAAACCTATATAACATTTACCTATTTTATCTCACAATTCAGTTTTTTTTACTGCGGTCATTTTGAACAAATCATTTCTGATTTAATGAATCACTCATTAAGACGTGCACTTGTCACCACCTACTGGCGGTATTAGTGCCATATCATGACAGGCTTAAACTAGCCAAAATAGCAGCACAAAAACACACTCAGCTAAATATTGTTTTTTAACAAAAATATATATTTTAATAATAGATATAATTTTGCGCACACCCACTACGTGTCACTTTGAAATCAAGCAGGAATATAATGAATTTGATTTATGAAAGCACAGCTAAACCTGCTTGATATTCTCAATGGTCAATGAATGCCAATATGGCCATTTGTTGCAGAAAAAGATGAACGTTCTCAACTAACTCTCACTAATCCTTATACTTTTTCCTCTATGTCATAGTGACGCAGCATTTACATTTAAATCAATGGGTTCAATTTAAAAATAATTCAAATAGGAAACAACTAATTTCACCTCGTAGATAATAGAATAGATCAGGGTTGGCGAACGTCAGTCCTGGAGAGCCGCAGCCCTGCAGAGTTTTGCTTCAACCCTAATCAAACACACCTGAACATGCTAATCAAGGTCTGAAGGGTTACTAGGAAGCTACAGGCAGGTGAGTTTTAATTAGGGTTGGAGCTGAACTCTGCAGGGCTGCGGCTCTCCAGGACTGGAGTTCGCCACCCCTGGAATAGACCAAAAAGACTGAAGATAACAGAGTATCACAGAAACTGTAGTGAACTCTTTCAACTTGGGCCATCAAGTAATCACCTATCAACAGCACAGTAAGTAACAAGTAGCACCTTAGCAACTACATAGTAACATGCTAAAAAAACACTCATGTTTTCTACAGATATAATTTCTGCTCTTGATTTAGGGCCGTATTCCAAACTTCAATTTTTTCTTCCAAGGCACATTCTCACTCTCACTTTCTGTCCTTTATTTCCTTTTTTCTGAGAAGCATGTGGCTATGGATCACTGACATCACTGGGCTCAATTAGAGATGTTTGTAGAGTTTTACCATATGGCCGAGAGAACTGCGTGAGGCAGAGAAAGATAGAGAGAGAAAGAGAGAGAACTCTGTGTACTGGGAGGGGTTGTTTGGTTAGTCATTGACAGAATATGGAGCAAAGTTGCTCTCTCTCACCATTTATCACTCCATGAGGTGACTGATCTCTTGGAGCTTTAACAGTGGAGTTCAGAACAGACAATGGCCTAATTAAACCGCAGAACAAACACACAATCTTGTAAAACATATACAAAGATGACCATTCGTCGTCTCAGACTGACAAAGCAGATTCTAGATCTACTGATGTTTATTCTATATGATATGGACATGTCATGCCTATTACTGTATTTAATTATGTCCTCAAGCACATTCCCAATCAATTCACATATATTTTATTAGAAGCAAATTAGAGCGAAGGTTTTGGGACCTATCTGGTTTGTTAAACTGGTTTGGCTGGTTACTGGATAAGGAGAGTCGCTGATAAACTGCACGTTGTTTTTATTTACATAAAGCTGGTAATGGTTATAGATCTTCTTTTTTTTAATCGCAGATTAGAAATGCAAAAAATAAAAATAACAACAAAAATACTGCAAAAATGAAAATATTTTCCTTAAAGCTGCTTTGAAACTATCTATTGTGAAAAAAGGGCTTTCTGTGTTTGCTTTTTGACTAAAAACCTAACAGTAAATTCCATAACAATATTCTGCGTGCATATAAGCACTAGCATTGAATTCTTTTGTTTTTTAATTAATACTTTTATTCAGCAAGGATGCATTAAATTGATCAGAAGTGAGGGTTTATAAGAAGTGAGACATTTATAATGTTACTAAAGTTTCTACTTAACTAAATGCTGTTCTTTTGAACTTTAACATTTTCCGCAAAAATATGAAGCATCACAATTATGTTTAACATTGATAATAATAAGAAATGTTTCCTGAGCAACAAATCAGCATATTATAGTGATATCTGAAGGATCATGTGACACTGAAGACTGGAGTAATGATGCTGAAAATTCAGCTTTGCATCACAGAAATAAATTACATTTTAAAATATTTTAAAACGGTTATTTTAAATTATAATAATATTCCACAATGTCACTCTTTCTGTGTTTTTAATCAAATAAATGCAGACTTGTTACCATCTTACCATCCTCAAACTTTGAACATAAATATATACATACTGCTTTATATGCCTTTGACCAAAACAATGTTTTGTTTTTTTTTACTTAAAATCTGCAAGCTGCAACAGTGTACCAGACATTTCCATTTTTCTCTCCAAGTAACAGTATTATCTAAACCAGAGAAATGAAACCGAGGTCCAGTACCTGCCGATGTGTTGCGGTGGTGCTGATTCTGGTGGAGGTTTGTCAAGCGCTCTGTGCTGGAGAGAAGTTCTGTGTAGGGACTGGGTGATGGGTATGCAGTAGACCCTCTGAACGACCACCTCAACAGGACCGCTCTGAGAGCCCGACGACCCACAATCCTCCACTGCGTCCAGCAGAGACTTCCGAACTCCGCTTCTGTTCAACTCACCGACCTAAAAAATGGAAACATTATTTTTTTTCCCCTAAACACACCAGTAGAAATTGTTTTTATGACTTCAATGTAATATCGGCACAGAATGGCACCAAACATTTCTTAAAGGGATAGTTCACCCAAAAATGAAAATTCTGTGATTAATTACTCACCCTCATGTCGTTCCAAACCTATAAGACCTTTGTTCATCTTCAGAACACAAATTAAGATATTTTTGATGAAATCCGAGAGCTTTCTGACCCTGCATAGACAGCAACACAACTACTACATTCAAGGCCCAGAAATGTAGTAAGAACATCAATAAAATAATTCATGTGGCATCAGTTGTACAGTCGTAAATGTGCGTCAAAGTCTGACACCGAAAAGTCGTCGTTATTTTTTTTCTTTGTGCACAAAAATATTCTTGTAGCTTCATAAAATTAAGGTTGAACCACTGATGCCACATGGACTATTTTAACGATGTCCTCACTACCTTTCTGGGCCTTGAACATGGTAGTTGTGTTGCTGTCTATGCAGGGTCAGAAAGCTCTCAGATTTCATCAAAAATATCTTAATTTGTGTTCCGAAGATGAAGGTCTTACCGGTTTGGAACAACACGAGGGTAATTGATGACAGAATTTTCATTTTTGGGTGAACTATCCCTTTTAGGCAACAACAGTCAGTGCCACCCATGTCACCTCAAATCAGCAACTCTCACTGATAATGAACGATATATGGTCTCTCTCTCTCACTGCAAATCCCTGTAAGCACACATCTACACTACTGTTCAAAATTAATACTTTTATTCAGCAAGGATGCATTAAATTGATCAAAAGTGACAGTAAAGACATTTATGATGTTATAAAAGATTTCAAATAAATGCTGTTCATTTGAACTTTCTATTCATCAAAGCACACAAATCAAGCTTTCCACAAAAATATTAAGCAGCACAACTGTTTTCAACACTGATAATAATAAGAGCAGCAAATCAGCATATTAGAATGTTTTCTGAAGGATCACGTGACAATGAAGACTGGAGCAATGATGCTGAAAATTCAGCTTTGCATGACAAGAATAAATTACATTTTAAAATATATTCAAATAGAAAGCTGCTGTTTTAAATTGCAATAATATTTCTCAATATTACTGTATTTATCATAGAAATGATGAATTGGTGACAGTGTATCTGTTAATGACAATATGATAATGCACATTTAAAGGGATACTCCACCAAAACATGAAAATGTTTATAAAATAAGTTGAAAAATGTTGGGAAACAAACAACATTGGAGCCCAATGATTTCTATTCTAAAAAAGGAAATAAAATCTTAAAATATCTTCTTTTGTGTTCCAGTTTTGGAACGACATAAGGGCAAGTAAATTATGACAAAATACAAATTTTTAGGTGGAGTATCCCTTTAAGTGTTGTGTTGGTATGCTCACATTTTTGATAAGAGATCTCAAAAAGATCTCAGAGTAGCAGATGATAGTTACTCTGTATTTTGAAAACTGTGGCTAACACTTTATGTGTTTACAACCAACACAGACTCTGTATGGACAAAACTGCACTGCTTATTTTGAGTAGTACAATAAGAGAGGGAACGTGCAAAGCCTCATTCTTCAAATGTCTTTTAAAAAGAATTCGTTACGCCAGGGTCTTGTCGAACAGGAAAATTTGGCTTCACTTTCACAATAAAGCAAATATTTATGCATTAAAAACATCCCTCATAAATCATCTGCACTCATGAGTGTCACACAGGAAACAGCAGCTGTCTCCATTCCAACAGCACTTTCACACATTTTTATGTGTGGCCGAATTCGAAATCTAACAGACGCTCGCTCGCTCTTCTGGGAATTTCCATTTCCTTCCCGTGATCACATGAGAGAGGACAGCTGACGAACCTGTTTACAGGGAATGGATGTCTCGGTTGACACTTGGCTCGTCCCTGACCACCACAGGCTCCAGGTTAACGGCGGAGGTCTGCATTTCTCCACAGCGACCGCAGCTCTCGGACCGCCTGCGTTATCCGGCTTAGTCTCTTCGCAGGCTTTCTGACTGAAGTGGGTGTTGAGAATTATGGGATAGCGTTCACCCTCCACAACCAGATTCTGCCTAGAGAGACAAACAGAGGTCTGCTGGTCATAATGTGTTGTTTTTGGAAAAACAGTTACAGTATGAAAACATCAAATCTCTTGGAAATGCCACATGATGGTTTTTATGACAGCTTGGCAACATTCATAAAACTCAACTGCATTGAGTTTTGTCTACGTTGATAGATTGACAGCGGTCTCGCCGAGCACAACCACCTCCACACTTCTCACACACATAAAAGAGTCTCAAAATATCCTCAGGTACACACGAACGCTCAAGCCCGTCCCTCTCTGGGTGGAAAACAACTGTTAGTGACTGACTGATCAACAAAGATGCTCTTTTCCATTTCACAGGCGGTCTGAAAACTTGTTTATATCAAAACGCTGAACTCAAGTCGACACTATTACTTTGTACTTGGCATCTAACAGATCGACTGTGAAACAAGCTGCGCTCTTGTGATAATGGTCTGCCTTGGTGTGTCTTAGTAACCTAGTAAGAGCATGAACAAACACACAAAACAAGCGTTAGATGTTGTTTGCCAAAAGAAAGACGTGAATTCGGTATGATTCTATACAGAGTGGCATTTAAACATGGCTCCTTCTGAAGCACTATTCATCTTTTTTTTCTTTTCAAATATAAATAAAAGTAAAACAGCAGCAAAGTGGACCAGACTTTATGCCGACGGCTAAATGAGGCTAGTTTAAGCCTACCTGGCAAGGGTCTAGAGCTGCACGAGTGAACTGAATTGCAGTTTTTCTGATAAAAATTGTGATTGCGTGTAAAAAAAAAATCCAGGTTTGCTGTGCTTGTTTGTAGGGCTGCCAAAATGTTGTGATTATATATCAAAATGGCTATAAAATAATAATAATAATCCAAAAATGACCAAATAAAGCAAAATAAGAAATTACTATGTTACTATTGTAATATTCACTGTAAATTCAAAAATAGACTATTTAAGAAAATATTAATTATAATAATAAAACATTAATTTATTTTTACATTACATTCAATCAAATAAAATAATAAATTAAAAAGAAAAATAATAAAAACAATTCATTGTTATCATTACTAAATAAAATACAAAGAATAAATAAATGTAAAAAAATTATTTAATAATATATTTTTTTACATTACAACCATAAAATGAAATAATACTAATAATAATGCATAAAAATACAAATAATTTATTATTATTATTAATAAAATATTTTATTACATTATAATATTTTAAATAATGTATTATTAATAATATAACTACTATTATTACTAATAAAAATACAAAATAAACCAAAATAAGATATGTATTACTGCTATTGTAATATTTTACTGTAAAAGAATAAAATATTTAAGTAAAATAATAATTTATTAATAAAATAATAATCTTATTATATATATACACATATATATAACATTGTGTTTAAAATAATAAAAAATAATTTATTATTATTAAATAAAAAATAAAAAACTACTGAACTTCTATGTTGACAGAAAACTGAAAGAAGACAGAAAGCCCTTCTTTTTGGTTGATAAGTGCTTCTTATTACAAGCATCGGAAGATAGTTGTCACACTGCATTCCCAAATGCACGTTAAAGACACTCAAAACTCAGAGCAGATGCAGAGATTGAGTTCATGTGGAGCAGCATTTACTGTGAACCGAGCCGCTCTGAGACACTGAAAACCGACGGATGAGAACAGTGCCACACTTGACTTTAAACAACCTAATGCATGCATTCATTTAATTAAATCGCACTAAGCCATTTTGCAATTTTGTTTTATTCTGATGAATCATGCAGCCATAAAAAGAGCTATGATCAGTTTGTACAGGAAAGTGTTTACAACTAGTTACTGATATGAAGCACATGGGGACAAGAGCCTGCAAATGACATATGTATTTCTGTGAAAACATCTGCACGTTGGTAAGCACATACATTAAAAGCGCTGTTCATTCGCAGGGCCTCAGAAGTAGGTTGCAAATAGCCTGATCAAACTTGGCACTGAGTGTAGGGTAATTTGTCACAGATCTGTTCCAAACAAGTATGTCTTCAATAAACGGAGGCCTCCACTCCACTACAAGCCGGGGCCTGCGGAGCTCATGTCATGAGACGTAGCACATACGTCAGCATTCAAATCATCCTGCCCTGAGAGAGAGTTGAACAGTGCCAGCAGAGACGAGTAATCACACTGAACCTAGTGAACTTCAGCCAACAGTGTGCAGCTCCAGGGCAGCCAGCAAAGGCAAGTTTACACAGGAGAGGTGGAGGTCCTCTCCGCCCTACTGCAAACAAGCGCTTTTTCAACATGCTGTCAACCCAAGAAGAATAGGACAGAAAATTCCAGTCTTTGACAATCCAGTGACAGGTCAAAAAAAAATAAATCTGATCTTCTTGTTGACCATTAAGTCTCGAAACGAGAAAGCATTTTTACTGTGAGCAATAACTAATAATATTATAATTACTATTATAATTAATCAATTATTTATATTATAATTTATCATTATAATTTAAAATGACTGTATAATTGATCTACATTTTAGAATAATAAAGTCATTAAATCTATGAAATACTAACACTAATGTAAGCATCGCAGGTAATCAAAACTTTCCTGTATTTTAACATCTAATATTTCAACCACCTTCATGAGGTGCATCATAGTTTTGATGGCTTTATTATTCTAATATGTAGATAAATTATTAATAAATATTTTTATTGTAATTCATTAAATAAATTTATAAAATTTCTCAAATTAAAATTTACAATTATAAAATCATATAATAACTATAATTACACATTTAATAATTAAACATTTTAATATTATAAACCATTTTTTAAATAAATTACAATAATATAATAAAAATGAGATACTAATCATACTACTACTAATAAGAAAATAATTAAGTTCATGCAAAAAATACTCTTTTTATCAGAAATGATATACAAATAAAAATACAAAGCAAAGTCTTAGTGATCAGGTGCACAGGAAATAAAGTCTTAGAAGAGATTTGTTAAGCTCAGTGCACACATAATCGCATCACGATCGTGATATACGTGTGAATACATTTCCGGTGGATCTGAACAGGAAGGCTGTGAACAAGCACAAGAGAGTGTGCTGACGTCAGAGCTGACACAAACAGGTGAGGGTGCGGCACAGGTGTAATCACTGCCTAGTGATGACAGGTATTTCCTTCATAGCTGAACCGTGAAGAAGCTGGGAACAGTGTGTGTGTGTGTGTGTGTGTGTGTGTGTGTTTATGTGCAAGGGAGTTGGTCATCAGAAACACTCCAATACAGGCAGCATGATGAACATAACCCAAAGCAGTTTACATGACTGTTAATTTTTGACTCAGACTTTAATGTATGGCAAATCTAAGTCAGAGGTTCTCAAATAAAAAACTGAGACTATAAATGCAAAACAACATTTTTAAAGTAATATGCTTATCAACTTGGAGAAGAAAATAATTCCCATATCTTTTGTAGCCGTTGTTAACAGCAACGCATCCGATCAAACTACAGCATTTTGGTGCAAATACGTCTATCACTTGGTAGAAACAAACCAAATTTGATGGATACCAAAAAATAATATTTAGAAACCCAAGCTCTCATTTTTTCTGTTCAGCCTATGTGCAGTTCATGGTACCATTAATAAATGTATATTACAAATATTTCACTTTTGTACGCAAACAATTTGGCTACTTTGTTTTGTCTCCAAAGTAATTTTACAATGGGATGTCCAATTAAGTTTCCTGAAGTAAAAGAAGTTAAGAACTAATATACAAAAAAGACATAACCATCTGCACTAAGATCAAATTGGTGGTTCGTGGAAATTTTGAAACTTTCAAGATTCATCAGTCATTCAGTTTTTGAATTTGAATTAAATTTGAAAGTTTAAATCTGAAGTGAACTTCAATAAGTGTCATTTTGAACTGGAAAACAAAGGTTTGGCATTAGTTTTGAATGATGGTTTGAAAAACCATGTCTGCAAGTTTAAAGAAGGCTATTTGAAATATAATTTGAACTAGAATTTTTACTATATTTAAATATCTAAATCTTTAATTCCAATTTAACTTCTTGTGGGGAGTGGCCGAACCAATTAAAATTCCACCTGATGAACTGAAAGGAAGTCAATTCTTAACTTTGGAATTTTGCTCAACCCTGTCACACTGCATGACTATTTCAAAGAACTGCAAAAACCAAACAAGTGACTGCAAATCACCAAAACCTTTTCAAAGCACCTCATGTATTTTGACACTAAAAAAATTCCATGTCTGCATTTATCAACTACCCGCACGTTTTTAAATATATTTGACGATATGTAAAGTGTTATCATCTGCTGCCCATGTTCTGTGCTGCAAACTAAGGGGGCTGAACTGGAGTCAATCCCGTGGACTTTCCAGGGTAAAATGAACTCTTGGACTTTCCAGGGTCAACTATGCCTGCCCTTAAAGCAAACACTCCGCAGGGGGAGAGAAAGAAAGTGAGAAAATGAGACAAGAGGAGAAACTGTGCCAGCAACACACTGTGCTGCATGTGTTTTCTATTCGGCCCTCTGGCCTCTGTCACAGTTATTGTGAGCTGCTGCCTAACGCTCCTCAAAAAAAGAAAAAAAAATGCTAGGGAAGAAAAAGGATCCAGCTATGTTTTTTCCCGGCTTGCTGGAAATTAGCTCAGAGCTGCCAGGAAGAGGCAAGATGGAGACTGGCTCGTCTGTCCCTCTCACCTCCAGCCCCGCTGGCCTCTCGCGCTTATCTGCTCTGTGCAAAACACACGGCTGCACACGGCAAGACTGTTCCTGCCAACCTGCGGCTTACTGCTCGAACAGTGAGTCATCACAAATTACTGCAGAAGATATAGGGAGATGTGCGTCAATGCTCGAGACGCAGAAGTTATCTTTTTGTGATCGAGACTCCAGTTGAAGAAATTATGAAGAAATTGAAGAAAAAAATTGCCAGCAAGTATTAGAAATTAAGTTTTGCACACCAAAAATTTGGAATCTTTAAATATTTCACAAACTATGTGAATTATTACAAAATAAATAAAAAATGTAAACAACCTGGTTGTTTGCATTGCGAAGAAAATTTAATATTGCTAGAATATAAAAAACGATATGAAACGATAATGTGAAATAACATTTTTATTAAAAAAAATGCATTTTTGTTGAGTATCATCTTTGATACAGCAGGCTTTTATGGCTGACATATTATGATATGGGAGGGGGGGAAACAGGCCAAACTGAGCAAAAATATGCAAATTGGTGCAGTTGCTGATATTTATATGGCCAAAAAGTAGAATGAAATTCTGATAGCTTATAATTTTAAACAATGAGATCTTTATAACTGTATAGCAGACTGATGACATAAAATGCATATAAATATTAGTCGTCAGAACATAATATGCAATGCAATACAATTATGATTGACAAAGGAACATTCCTTAAAAGCATGATGTATCATTTTTGATACATTTTCATTTATCTAAAAAAAAATTATGGAAATGTATGGATAATCAAGTAAAACTAAGTTACTTCAGTCTAGTAAGGGTTCATCTTGAAATAATAACGGCAATATAAAAGTTATTCTTTACATTTACTTTACCTTCAGAAACAGATGGACATTAGAATTATACTAAAAGGTCTTTTGCATAATAAAAAATATAAACTATGGAATGTAGTAGATTGTGTACAACAAGTTTAAGCTTTTCAATTTTGACCATTTAATTTTTAGAGGCCTTAGACATTTGCATATGAAATATGATAACCAGATGTTTCACCAACAAATGGGATGTTCATTTCGGTTATTTTCCCTAACTGACAACCGACGCTCGTTAACTGATTTTTAACAGTTAACCGACAAGATTATTTTAAATTAGAATTTAATTAAATTAGAAAGGATAAGTGTCTGTGACCCATTCAAAAATACTAACATTTGTTTCCCGGGGATTCATTTTACATGCGCAAAAAGCAGCAAACAACAGAACATGAGGATTCACATGGTCATCATAACACATCACGCACCTGCAGCGCTTCTGCCAGCGGAGAAAAACATAATAAAGCTAGGCTATATATATAAACATATTTTTACTTAAATTATAAATTAAGAAAATATATGAAAAACAAGTAGCCTATGCAGAGTTTCAGTTCATTTTTGTGCCGCGGAAAGAAAACAGACGGCAGAAAGCGCCATCCTATTTTCTTTAGGCTTATTTTACAAAAGCACAAAGATTTGTTTTTATTGTGAATGTACACAAATAAAGGCAAACCTTTTACAATTTCGATTATTTTTATGACTAAAACGAGTAGTTTCTTCCACTGTCTTCCATGCCGGCGCCGCATGCGCGTGCACAGTTAAGCATTGTTACCTTGACAATGCAGCCAGTATATTATCATAATAAAACAGTAAGTCAAACATATGGAAAAAACTATGTAGTAAAAAAAACTATGTAGTAAAATCTGTTAAGGTTAAGTGTTAGCACTGTACCGCCGTGATGTAAAACATTTAGTTTTACGTGGATATTGGAACACGAGTGAAGTACATAATAAATAATAATTTGCCATTCAAATACATCGCGAATACGGAAACATTTGGTTTTGTGTGGAATTAGAGACCCAACGTTGGTTTCAGTTTCGTTTGAACCTAAATTAATTCGTTTTGGCTTGTCGTTTATATTGCTATAGCTTCTTATATTTTTTATTCTTTAATTATTTTCTAAATACTGTTAATTGAAAGGATTTGTTGTGGAGTGAGGGGAACTAACACTAGCTATGTTTACAGTGTTTATTATAATGTTTGTCAACATTTCGTGTCGGCATTAGGTCTATTTCTGAATGAAATAATAAAATGCAACTTATACGCGACTTGTTTTTTCCCCCCTAAAAAACATTTTTTTATACGCGTAGCATATTTTAACTATGCAGCAAACGTTTTAAATATTTTGATAAATTACTGAAAAAATGTATAATTAAATTACTTTTTAAACCGTTTAATTGATTGTATTAATCGGTCAAAATTCTTACCGTCGGTTAACCGGTTAAAATGAAAATCCCTAATCCACACAGTTTGAGGCATTATATATGCCCATATTACAAGCAAAATGTAATAGTTAGGGTTAAACATTTGTTCAAATGCATAAGCAAGCACTACTAATTATATAAAATATTTGTAAAATATAAATGTTTTTAAATTACTCTGAAAATCAGTATTAGGTCAGTAGCCAATAAACTGTTTATTAACATTACAGTAGCTGTAGTATTTTATTTCAGTTAATGTTCATTTTATTTCAAGTAATGAATATTTAGTTTTACCTAATAATAACAACAACAACAACCCCGCTTTGCACTGGCAGTGCATCACACAAGTTTAACCTCCTTCTCCTAATATCATTTTACATTTTATCTTGAATTTCCACCATCAACTGAAACATTAACTTCTTTAAACCTACATACAAACATACCTACACACACTGAAGACCCCTAGTAGGGCACTGTTTGAAAAGAAATCCGTTATACCATGGAAAATGAAAACGTAAGGTGTGTGACTGTGTCTGCAGTGTGTTTGTGTCTGTGGTTTCCTGTCGCTTTGGCTGCGAGACAATTACATCCTATTGTCACCTGAATCACCTGAAACAAGCGTGCTTTCACAGCCTCCTACTCCTCAAACTGTACACGGCAAGATCTCATCGCTGGAATATTATACACATATCATCAAGCATGACAAGCAATTATGGAAATATGAAAACTGTGGGTTGGTGGTTAAATAATTTCCTGGCACATTCTTTGGGCCAGATCTGACATTGGCAGTATTTAAATGAAAAGACTTAATTTTTAATTGTGAAAACATTAGTGGTCAGGAACAGAGAACTAACCACTAACGATCTGTACAAAGCTTGCATTCAAGACGTGATTGAGTCTTCACATAAACAGACAGGATTCAGATTGGCTGTGTCTTACCAGCTGATGTGGTTGAGTTGCACTGATGTCTCCAGAAGCTGATGGCTGATTTTTGCCTGCTGTGGAGTCGGTTCAGCCTTTCAGCAAGACCTCCCCTACAGAGAGAGATCACAAAGATTCAGTCCCACAGAATCAAAAGAATCAGACCAACAGAACGACTGAATTTGAATTAATCACACAGAATCATTCTAATTCAAACTAATTACTTAGAATCAAATATGAATTAAAATCACACAAAATCAATCCCAGATAATTAAACCTATAGATTCAATCACACCGAATCAGTCATATGGAATCAGTCCCACATAATCATTCATATAGAATATAAAACACACAATCAGACATTCAGAATAACACATGATCACAATCTGAATCAAACCTACTTAATCAATTACACAGAATCAATCATTCAGAATCAAACACACAATCAGTGTGACTGATTCATTTAAACCACCCTGAATCAGTCACACAGAATTAAACCTATAGATTCAGTTAGCCCACAGCATAATCTGTATATGCATTCAATCCCAAGGAATCAGTCACATAACATCAATGGTAAAGAATGAATGAGAAATGTTTATATAAAATTAAATAATGAATCTGGCTGAATCTGCTAGAATCAATCACACAGAATGAGACCGAGAGAATAAACTAGAATCAGTCTCACTGAATCAGCTCCATCAAGAAAATCTATTTGAATCAACTGCATAGAATCAAAGACAGAGAGTGAGTTCCATGGAATCAACCATGGAGAATCAGTTCAAATCAAATGGAATCAATCCCACAGAATAATTTATATAAAATCAAACAAAGGGAATCAATCATAAAGAATAAATCAAATAAAACCAATTAAATGGAATCAGTCGTAAAATCAATCATGAATGAATCCTAAAGAATGAACCCCATGAATTATAGATTAATGATTATAGAGAATCAATCCCCATAGACTCAATAAGAATAAATCCCATAGAATCAATTAGATTCAATCCCATCAAATCAATCACATAAAATTAATAGTAAAGAATATATGAGAATCCTTCCTATTAATCATAGAGAATGAATCTGATTGAATCAACTAGAATTAAGGCATAAATAATCAATAAGAACCTATGTCAATGAATCAGTTCCATATAGAGAGTCAATCTGATTCAACTCCACACAATCAAACCAGAGAATCAATTTCAAGGAATCAATCAAAGAGAATCAATATTCAATTTAATCTATATTCACTGCACATGGAAAACTGATCCATAATTAGCAAAACTTTTTGTCTTTCATAAACCATTATAGGCTTCAATTTGTTACAGGCTTGTTAGCTAAACTACATGCTTATTACCAGAGCAGCTCTGCATGCACTTATTAATGGTCATTTGCTTTATGTTTATGATGTACATGTTTGTGTTTTTACGAGTGGGTGGTAGTTTTTACGTGTGCTATAATTTTTATGTGTATAAAAGCATAATAAAAATATAAAAAGCTACACTCAGGCAAAAGTGTGGACTAGTGGTGGACTAACAAGAGCCAAAAAGAGACACAGCTCCCCCGTGAGAGAACAAACTCGACACATCCTGCCTCTCCCGTTCACAAAATCTGACAAACGACTCATTTATGGTAAAGCATCATGGGCTGGGCTCAGTCTTTAATGGTACACTAGAAAGCAATTGCTGAGTAATATCTGACAAAAGAGCCTTATGCATGCGTTGCTGGTTCTTGTGCGCATAGGAGGAAATACTCTGGTAAATTAAATAAGGTGACAAAAATGAGCAAAGGAAGCCGCTCCTTGATAGCCAATCAAAAACCAAGCTGACCAGGTTTTTACGGTAAGGGTGTGGATGTATTATTAAACTTCTTCACCTAGACTTTGAACCCTTTTGTATCCTGTGTGTTTACACTGATAAGAAACTTCGGGTGAACTTGACGTCACACATTGAAAAAAAAAACCCCAGTAAGAATAAATAACGGTATGAAGGATTACTGCCAGTTAAGACGATAAATCCCAATCATAAAGCCACTGAACTCATAAATTGAGTTCATCTTGCACAGGGTTGCACCGAAATTAAGATTAAGATCCAGGCGCCATAGATCATACCTTTCAAACCTCCTCCTCTTTTTACTCGAGTCCTCTGGGGTCTTGATGCTCTTAGGGGTTTGTTTCTGAGGTGTCTGAAGAATCGCCTGAGCAGATCGGACCCACTCGCTGACCGACTGCCGGCTGGACTCGGCTGCGTCCGCTCTGCTTTCTTCTGGATCTTCATCATTATCATCGTAAGAGGAGTAGTCTGAAATCTGGTTTGGTGACTAAAAAGGAGAGGAGAGTTTTACATGGAGTTATCTGATTTGCTTTTATCCACAGAAGTGTTGTTATTGTTAATTAAAACTATTATTAATTTCCGTTAATCGAAATAAAGTTGAAATAAGACTATAAATAATAAATATTACATAAAAAAAATTTAATAACTTATAATTAAATAACAAAAATTAGAAATGTTGCCTTGGCAACTAACTTTAATTTTAAGTTGAAGTATTAAAATGACTAAAACTGAAATAAAAATAAATTAAAAGTTTAACACAATTATAAAAAAGAAAAGAAGTACATAAAAATAAAATGTGAAAATAAAAGCGAGTTCAAAATATCAATAAACAGTATAATATAGTAAAAAAATTGCATATAAATATTACTTAACACTAATTCAAAGCCACTTACAAATGATGAACAACATATGCAATGAAAGGACATTTTAAGACTATTTAATTTTTTTATTTTAATTTATTTTTTATTATTATTGTTTTTTTTACAAATAAAACGCAATTATAAAATATAAATATTAAATGAAAAACTTTATTTTTTTAACTTTTTAAATTAAAAAAAAATTTAAGTACTAAAATTACTAAAACTGAAATAAAAATAAATTAAAAGCTAAACAGAATGACAAAAAGTGTATATAAAGTTCAAAATATTAATAAAAACAATAAACTTTTGGCACTTACAAATGAGGAGCATCACATGCATGAAAGGACATTTTAACTTGTTCTATTTTGTTCTATTTTATTTTTGGGGTTTTTGCAACTTTTCATTGACAGAAGAGCAGATACAGAAAAATTAATTATTTGAAGAGAGCGAGAGAAGTATGATAAATGGGGATACGATACATGTCAGATTCGAACCTGCACTATCAAGGCTCATGGTCAAATACTAACTGAAGATCTGCAGCCTCTAGTTCAATGTCTGCCTCATAAAGAGCTTCCTTAATGTCTCAAAGTTTGATTATAAAATGAACATTAAAAATGCACACACAGAGTCATAGTAATAAACCCACAGCACAGAGCATCACAAATCTCAATATTGTAAGATGCCAAAAACCTTGAAAAATATTGTGATTGAATGCTTCCAGCACAAAGACTTTCAGGAAAAACACCCTAAGCATTCGACCTTCACAATTAATCTCACAGGTACTCAGTTCTCAAGCTAAATGACGCACACAAAACTCTCAGTCCACAATTACACAAATTATGGGACCTGAATGACACCTCCTGACAGGCTGCCGCCATGCTGTCAAAGTGAAATTACAGACTAAACAGGTGTTCCAAAAAAAACGGCAGCCTGTTTTCACCTTATTCACATGTCATGCTGGGATATGAAAGTAAACAGAGTTTCAAGCTGAGCCTTAAAAATGAACAGAACCTTAAAAAAGTCTTTACAGATGGCTGGGGGCCACCAAAGCAAAGCCAAAAACCTTAAGATCTATGAACCAGTACCTTGTACAACACGATCATCATTCAAACTCACGTTTCACATGGATGCTAGAGAAGAAAATAAGTGAGAAGGGCAAAGGTGGGAAGCTAAAAAACAAGAACTCAATGACCTCTCATTAATTCTATCCTCCTGCACATATCGTAATTCCAAAGGGGCCTTGAAAACACTATCTGGGCATCTGCCTATCCAGCACTGCATTAATTTCAACCTCTGCCCTCTGGAAAAGGCTTGGAATCAGTCTTCTAAAGTACTGCCACTGAACTCTCAATCCACATGCAACTCCCACCCATGCTTCCCACGTACGACACTTGCCTTTTAGTTACTAAATCTAAAATCACCGGCTTTGTGAGTTGCATATTGTTGAACTTGTTAGTGGTGCTTGCTAAGGCAACAATCACTGTTATTATTATTGCTCATACTTAGGTTTAAGGGTTTCTTCAAATAAATAATAAATAGGAGATAAAATAGGCGTAAAAATAAAATGTCATAGACCTACATTCAAAGAAGAGAATATCTAGAAATGTACTGAAACTGGTCTTTAAAAATCACTGCTTGGGGTTAACCCTAACCCTATATTTATTAATTAACTTAAATGACATTAAACCAACTTTTAAAAAAATCTAGTTAAATTTGTATCTAATTATTTTTACTTTATATACATTTTATATAACTTAAAAAGTGTGCAACAGAGATATAAATAGAAATAAGACAAATATCTAACATAGAAATATAATATATATATATAGCTAATCATTAAAAATACCTTAAAAAAATTGCATTATAAAGTGTATTGTTTGTGTGTGTGTGTTTGTGTGTGTGTATATTTGTTTATAAACTATAATGTATTAATATTATATATAGAAATATAATATATAACAAAAAATTATATTCAATAAATCATGTCAATAAATATCAATGTAAACTTTAACGCATTTAAGATTTCAAATATTTAAGTTTTGTTTAATTATATAGTCTTCATTTATAAACAGGAAAATTAAAACTTTTCTGTCTTCCTCATGCTCTGTTTCGGACTGAACACTGGGATATCTATATGTCGCATGCAGATCCTACAGACCTTTGTGAAAATTAAAGAATCGATTCCAAATGCATTATGGGAAAATCTACAAGGCAATCTGAGATGTGACAAGGGACATCCAGCCCTGATAAAGCACACACCCTCAAACAAACAATGGAAAAAGAAAGACAGAAGATACATTCCACAGATAGACCTGAAGATACGACCCGGGCCCGATGATATATGATATATGACTCATTTACCTTAAGACAGGTTGTAAAAGACTGACGTAAAGGGAACGGGAGGGGGTTATGTTTGTGTGTGTGAGCGTTTGTGGTTGCATTGTCACAAACTGGTTTTCTTGTGGAAAAAAATCGGCTGCCTCCTTATCATGTGGAGACACGAACGGCATTCCAGCCCGCCGAACAGCCTACACACTCTTTTATTTGAATCAACTTGACCCTGCAGGGCAGCCTGCCAGCAAACAGTGCACTACGCGCGCTCTCGGTCTTTCTCTCTCTGCGCAGTACACTATGTTCCTGGCCCATGCTCAAAAATGTGCTTACCCTGCACTGGCTCAAAATGAATGGAGGAGTACACAAACTTTTCGCTCTATCAAATCTATCTCACTCCTACTTTTTTTGTCTAATTTAGACACGTCATATAGGGGCAGTTCCCAAACCAGCGGGAACAGGACGGGACCGCTGCGTTATGGAGAGGGATGCCAGGTCACAGAAAAGTGTGTCAACGCCAAGGACGCCCTAGTTTGGTTTGCAATTGCAGGAAAATATACAGGAAATTAATTATAGGTAGAACTGCAGCTGAAATTAATTGAGAAATAAAGCAACATGTGATTAATGTCTCGATGCATGTCTGTCATTTTCCTCTCTTCCTGTAAATGGACACAAAACATTTTTCCTATGAAAGCTGGGCAAGTAAACAATCCGTTTTTTTGTTTTTTTAAACAAATGGTTTCAATCTTGAATCCAGGAAGCGGGGCTGATTTAAAAGACACTTAAAAGGAGGCATGGGAATAAGAGCTAAACATAGATGTGATTTGGAAGAGTTCGAGGCTGACAGACATTTCAGACAGAGATGTTGCAGAATACTTCATGACACCTTGGGAAAATTCTCAACTTACGTTTCAAAGATGCTCTTTTTTTTAATCCAAAAACCGGTCTGTTCTGGTTCTGATGAGAGGGGGGGGAACAAAACTAAACGCACATAATTCTTCCCATATCTTTTGTTGTTGACTTCAAAGATGCTCAATCAAACTCTCTGGTATTTTGGCACAAATTCATCTTTCACTTGGTAAAGCTAGACAAATTATATAGATGTCAACATGAATAGTTGTAATATCATTGCGCCTGCTGCACCCATAGTACGGCAGCAAAGTTCCTTGATTATTACGCCGGAATGAGAGTATAGATCCTAGCCACATCGGCCTAGAAAATCGCAACTTTTAATTTTCCGTCAGTCTTAGTACACGATGTAACTACAGAAGAGTTAAGTTTTAAATAGGAAAAATATAGAAACTCTTTGGTCATTTTTGAGCGAGATGCTAATGGTCTAATCAGATTCAATGATCTATGCTAAGCTACAGCTAAAAGTGCTACCGCCAGACCCGGAGATCGGCTGAATGGATTCGAAAACGGTAAAACTCAACTGTTTAACTCTAGGGGAGTTGGAAAATTAGCCTATTTTCAAAAATAGTGGAGTGTTCCTTTAAGGTGCAGCAAACCACTGATCTAGATTTTTAAGGTTCCTTGACCGAAATGATTCAGAGTACCATTTCTAAAGAATCTTTAAAGTTTTTTTTTTCTCCCCAATGACAAAGAACATTCTGGAGTGTTCTCAAATTATTAACTGGATCTGCGCCACATGACCAGACTAAACTACAAGGAAAAATCTTTAAATGTTGTGATGTGATGCCTTCCAACTACTCCAACTATTAATAAGTCAAATCAAAGCTGTGTTTATGCACTGCTTCCACATGACAAATTTGCCTAACACTGCCCTTCCAGGAAGCTGAAGAACTATCTAGTCTGGACAAAATTACAGTCTATGACAGTAACTGTGAATTGTACCATTATGACAATAAGACGCATCATGCTGAATTATGATAATCATGGTCAAAGATCATCAGATCATGATGTCATTGCTGATTGCGGATATACAGTATTTTAAAGGGGTCATATGATGCGATTTCAATTTTTCCTTTCTCTTTGGAGTGTTACAAGCTCTTGGTGCATAAAGAAGATCTGTAAAGTTGCAAAGACTAAAGTCTCAAATCCAAAGAGATATTCTTTATAAAAGTTAAGAGTCAGCCACGCCTACCTAAAACGGCTCGTTCTAACACGCCTCCACATGTCTATGTCACTGTGTGGGAAGATTTGCATAACGCTGCCCAAATGTTCACGCAAAGAAAGAAGGTGTAACTTTTATTCTCGCTGTAGTATTGTTGCTGCCGCCATGTCGTGAAGGCACTGTGTGTTTCGTTGTGAAAGCGAAACTACTTTGTTTGGCCTTCCAAAAGAGGACGATATCCGTTTCATCATGCCTAGAGCTGATCAGTGCTGGTCGCTGAGGAAATACATCAACTTCGCGCTGTGGATCACCGGATCGGCTTTCACTGAGTTATTCCGGCATTATTTACCTTTTATACCTTTATGCAATTTAAATACTAAAGTCATTTCATGTGTCACATGGAAAGTAATATGACAACATTTGATCTTTTATTCAGATGACTTGAGTGAGACATGTACTCAACAAAATGTCAAATATTAATAAACTAATACCAAGAAAGGTTGCAAATATATATTCAGGCCAAAGGTTAGTCCTAAAAGGAGCAGGGACATTGAGAACCCTGATGAAAGCTTAAGACGTCTAGTTTGAGGAATCATAGCGCCCCCTAGTGAGCAACAGTGCAATATATTTTCTCTTTTAATACATTTTTTTTCTCCCCATTCTAAAACATGAGTTTAAAGTTAATATGAAAGCTATTTAATATATGTACAATTATTCTGCCAATGTAAAGATAAAACATACTTACCACAACTGGATTTAGAAAGTCAATATGTTCTTTTGAATCTGAATTTTCCTCCTCTATCTCACTGTCTGAATCAATCGAGGGCAGGTCATCTGTCTCTGAGGGCAAAAGCAGCAGGTAATCAGGATTAAATAACAAGCCACTGCATATTAAACTACAGTTATGAACAGCCAGAACAGATGGTTTGATTGGACGAGAGTATTTTTACATCATTCCACATTCTTGATCGCATTTGGCAAGTAATAATTACACTACACTTGTTGAGTAACATGTACTTTAATACTCTTTAACTGAGAAACAATGAGGAATATCGTTATAAGGGAATCAAAAAGAGACATTATTTACTACAATGGTGCGAAACTCTGTTTTATTCAAAATTACTCTGTCATATAAGCACCTGCATAATTTATCATTTGGGATTTCATCTGATGTTTTATAAATCAGGATGTGTATTTCAAACAGAATGAATTTCCCCCTAAAAAAAAAAATGTATTTAATGTTTTTATTTGCATTTAGAATTTTACAGTTGTAATGTTAGATTTATAATTTTCAAATATATTTAAAATAATTTTCACACACATTTTCCACACACAAATGTAATTATATAAGGCAATTTTCAGTAATTATACAGCCATAAATTCCATAAGCATTTTTGCTAGAAAACACTTTTATTATCATTTAACCTGAAAAAAATGTCTAACCTTAACCTGATAAAAATGCTGACTAGCAGAATTCACAACTACATTTCAAACTGTGCAAAGCAAAAATATGCAAAAAGTATCAAAATGCTGTAATATTCGTCCCAGTCCAGTGGGCAATCCATATTGTTAAGCCCTGATATCATGGGCCAAATTAAGCTCCTGAAAGATTCATTCACATTACTACCAAAAATGTCTCTGTTCTTACCTACACCAGTGCTGAACATCCGCAGACTTCTGCAAGAATCAACAGGATGTTGTTTGTGTGCTCTGGGCGGCTGTGGTGCCTGTGTGACAGTCAGTCGAGGAGGAGGATGACTATCACCGTCTGATTCTTCCTCCTCACTGGAGCTCCAGGCAATGTGCACTGGTTCATCTGTGCCAGCATCCCCATTGCCTTAAACGAATACTTTTGTTCAGCAAGGATGCATTAAACTGATCAAAAGTGACAGCAAGGGCATTTATAATTTTATGTAGGATTTCTATTTCAAACAATGCTGTTCTTTTGAACTTTCCATTCATCAAAGAAACTGTATCATAGTTTCCACAAAAATATTAAGAAGTGCAACTGCTTTCAACAATACAAATAATCAGAAATGTTTCTTGAGCAGCAAATCAGCATATTAGAATGATTTCTGAAGGATCATGGGACACTAAAGGCTCATCATGTGACACAGCATTACTATGAATTGCACAATTTATGGATTGATCAATCTGTTGTATTACCAGTAACAGGCGTCAGAGCCACTTTACGTGCATTTCTGCTCTTCTCTGATGTTTGCAGCTTCTGAAACACAAACACGTGATGTTCAGTGCATCTTTAACAGACTGACAGCATTACATACATCTACTGTAACACACCTGAATGACAGAGGTGTCCAGGAAACTGTCCCCACATCTCTCCCAGGACTTTGTGGCAGGCGTGGATGTTCTGGCAGATGCTTTTCCTGCCTTTTTGAAAGTGTCTTTCACATCGTCTGGGAATAGCACACACCTCATGTCCAGGTTTCTCTTCCGCTGAACACACAAACACACATTAAAATTAATTAATCAACAATAATATATACACATAAAAAAAAAAAAAATACATATATATATATTAGTGCTGTCAAACGATTAATTGTGATTAATCGCATCCAAAATAAAAGTTTTTGTTTACATAATATGTGTATACAGAGTACATTAACTATGTATATATAAATACAAACACATGCATGTATATATTTAAGAAAAATAAGTAATGTTTATACATTAAATATATTTATATATAATATAAAATATAAGAATATAAATATATAAATGTATATACATGTAAATATTTTCAAAATATATACTGTATGTCTGTATTTTTATATATGCATAATAATATACACAGTACACACATATTATGTAAACAAAAACTTTTATTTTGGATGCGATTAATCGCGATTAATCATTTGACAGCACTAATATGCATATGTATATATATAGAGAGAGAGAGTTTATTTTCTTTTAGTAATTGATTTTAATTTTGTTAATCTAGACAAAGAGTTGCCACTTTGTAAAATATAAAGAAGTAAAATATGAGTAGGTGTGTCCAAATATTTGACTGATAAGTACATATTCATATATTGGTCTCTTTAATTGTTCTCTTTTCCTAGCTCATGTGATTTATATTTCTACTGCGTGTTGTAATGATGTGTAGTGGATAATAACACTTCGACTGGACTGTCAATAGAAATATACAACTGGTTCTCACAAACATCTGAAACGCATTAAAAGTTTAAGAAAACCTGTAAACAAAGTGTTTATTGATCGCTTACCTTGCCCATGATGTTAAGTAAATGTTCTACGACTTTATTTTCCTCAAATAGGGCTTATTTCCTAATTAAATAATAACTGTTTACATCGTTGTACTGTAGTTCACTCAAACCCAGCAGTTTCTTCTTCGGTTCGTCTCTCCCGCTCTTTTAGTTCGTGACGCTGCGCGCTACTGACACCTGGCGGCCAGAGACGTTTTGAGCACAAGATGGATGAAATGATTTCACAATGGTTTTTAACTTTAAAAAAAAAAAAAAAAAAATAGTATTATAAAACCGTCTCTTTTTGTCAAAGAAAATCATACTCTGTCCTCTTAAGACTCTTTATTTATATGAAAAAATAAAAACACACTACGATAACTGAAAAATTATAAACCTAATGTTCCTTTTCCGTAAAATATGTTAACTTGTGCGATTTGTCAAATATTTGAAAAAGCAATTCAAAGTAAAATTCGTGTCCAGACCTGAAACTTACAGCACGCTGAAGGAGTTTCAAAAGTTTTGAATGTAGATTTCCTTTATATTAACGACCAACGTCGAACATTTGGCGATACAGAAGTCTTCTGTCTCGTTTAATTTACATAAAATCATATTACCCTAACTAAATCATAATAAAAACAAAAGATTTATTCCTTTTGAAAGTAAAAGGGTTTTTATTAGGGCAAGTCTATCATATCTCCAGAGATTATAAACAGCAAGTTAAACATACAAAAAACATTTAACATTTTTTTTTTCTTTTCGTTTTTATTAAATATGTAAAAAGCAGGTCAAGTTATTCACAAATAAAATGCAAACATGCAACACATTTGGGGAATGCATAAGGGGAGATACTGCGAGGGCAATAAAAAGAAAAACATTGTCTATTTATAATTATTAACAGTACATATGTTTACATTCCTTTTCATTGTACACAATAATAAATGACATAAGCGTTGACCTGTGGAGAATATTGACGAGTATGAGGAGATCACCAGAATGCGGTTTTCCGTTCAGAAGACCTGTGCTTTAGAACAAGTTAACAAAAAAAATCAAGATGCATCGTTTTCTTCAGATGACGGCTGTTTTGTTTTTTTTACTGTACATATAAAGTAAAACATGTTTAGACGTAGAATACGGATTGCACAGTTCAAATGAAACGCTTCCCATCAAACACTGTGATTGGCTTCCACCTCTGTGAAGCTGAGACACATTTAACCAAAAAAAAATTGAGTAGATTTCATTTAACATGGTGAAAAATTGAGCTACGTTTCCAAATGAATCACATGGGTTTATAATACCAGTATGCATTAGGTTATAACGCAGAACTTTCCATGGTAACCGATAGTTAATCTTCTGAAGGAATCTATCATGAGGTGATATTTCACAAAAGGTACCGGTGGCTCTTTGAGCTACTCTTATTGCAATATTTTAAAATGTAATGGTTCAATCTTAAAACATTAACAGCTTAAGGAATAAAAAAGGTCAATTCGCCTTCATCGGTGCGGTGAGATGAAAAACAGCAGGTGGAAACGCCAACAGGCTTCAGTTAAAGTAAAAACCGAATGGAGTTGATGCGCAGTGGTTGTTAACACGGGCTTCACACGAACAACACTCACCAATTAAGCTGCTGTTGGATGACATGTTCATAATAGTCATGATGCAATTAAACAGGGCTTCAAAATGAACAAAAAAAAAAAAAGACACGTGAGAAATAAACCGTCATGAGTTGGAGGAAATGAACCCAAAAGCAGTTTTCTGACTGAGTGCATGTATGTTCAGGTGTCTGTTTGATTGACAGCTGTTCAGTATTCGTCCTGCGTGTCGTCAGGGACGTCCTCCTCCTGAGCCGGAGCCTCGTGTTCCTCTCCGCCTGCCTCCTGTACAAACAGCCGTTTGTTGTTAGTTATGTTTAAGGATCTTGTCATATTAGATAGTCAGTTTGTCTGTTATGAACCATGAAAAAACTGACTACGTATGAAGCACTTGATCTGAAGGGTTATATCACAAGAAACAAGATCAACAACACAGCAGAAAAGGGTCTTTTAGAAATCATAGCTATGATGCCACAACTGAAGAGTACATTGATTATTACCAATAAGTTGTACATCTATTCAGTACTGAATGATCATTTGAACTAGAGTAGCAGAACGAAGCATGTTAAAAATAACAGGTCTTTTTTTTTTTTTTTTATTTATTTTTTTTTTTTAAATAGCCTGTACAATTCTAAATGGGTTAAAAAATAATTATGAAAATTTTAATGATGGCCACTTTTTGGCCTTGACCTAAATCATAAGTGGACGTCAGGGGGGAAACGCAGTGTAAGTGTAGAATATGACCCCTTTTAAGGTGGGAAGAAAGAAAAAAAAGAAAACGAAATAATAAAGGTCTGTTTTATTCAAACAAAAAAGAAAATATTAATAAATGATAAAACAATAAATAATACTAATAATAAATGGGATGATGCTTTGTTAAAAGAAGAGCAGAAAAAGTTATTTAAATAGGTTTGATGTATTAAAAGAACATTAAAATAGTAGTAGTGGTAATAATAATAATATTAATAATAATAATCTGTGAACAGTTTTAAGTTTTTATTCAAAGAAAGAAAAAAAAAAGAGTGGAAATAATATATAAATACATTAAAAAACAAACAGGTGAGACATCTTATTAAAATAATAATAAATTGTGTTTCATTAAAAATAAAAAGTACTATAAATAAATAATAAATTGTGTGTTTTATTAAAAATAAAAAAGTACTATAAATAAATAAGAATGAAGGAATGAATACAGTTTGCTGAAAAAGAACTTGAAGCACTAACCTGGTCGTCTGCAGAGTACAGCACCTCCATGAGTCTCTCCACGAAGGGCCCGTTGTCCTGGCCCTGCTCCTGACACAACAGCTCCACCTCTCTCAGCTTCCCAAAGTAGAAATCTCGCTCCTTCTCCACTCCTTCTAGTGCTAGCTTTAATGTATTGAGCTGCAGCAGAGGAGAGACGCAAGAGTTACCAATGACATAAAACACCGTCAATAGACAGTAAAAGCTGGTTATTGCTTTGGTAGACATGCTTCTAAACTACATAAATCTCCACTGAATATATACACTTCCTGATACCATATTTGATTGGTCAAAAAAAGGGAGTTTACCTTGCTTTTATGGTTGTAATCCCCCCTCCCAAAAAAAGTGCCCAAGTGCCCAAAAGTGCTAAGTCAACTAGCTTTTAGGTCACGAGGTTCCCAAAAAATGCTTTCTACTGGTCAACCTGTCTGCTCACAGTCTATGCTGTTATAAGAACATCTATAAAGGGGTCTATGATGTTGTAAGAATGTCTAGGTAGATGCCTATTATGTCATAAGGACATTTAGGAAGATATCAGTGTTTAGAAATCTAATTGCAATATTTTTGATAAAAATTGCAATGTAATGCAATAAAATACCAATATAGTTACATAATAATTATAAAGTATTATTACTACTACTGCTACAAAATACAAAAATAAACAAAAATATATATTTATTGTAAAATCAAGAAATAAGAAGCATTACTACTGTAATGTGTCACTGTATAATAAACAAAAGAGCATTTGAAAAATATTTCTAATTTCATTTTACATAACCATAATATTTCAATAGCGCCATATGCTAATATATGATTAAAAAGGACAAATATCTGCTCATATATATATATATATTTTTTTTTTATATATATAAATTAATAAACTCTTATGTTCAATTAAAAAAAAAAAGTAAAAAAAAAAAAAAAAAGCAATTTCATTAAATTTTGCATGTCAAGTAAATGCATCTTGATTTAAAGATGTTTAGATCTTTATATTGGAAAACAAGACAAAAACACTGACAAACATATACATTTTTTGTATTTAATGCCATAACGCCAAATTTAAGATCTTTTAAAAGCTTATTTTGTTAATTAAGACTTTTTATTTTTAAGACCTGCAGAAACCCCGGTCTTCTAATATGCTCTACTAATAAATGTCATGGTTTTGTTCAGCATTTATAACCATTATGTTCTTGATAGCTCGTCTATTTAAAGATTTGAATAGCGTTAGGGATGTCCACCTGATCGTTTAGTTGTGTTACTTGAGCTTCCAGCTCCTTCTCTCCTTTAGCGGGTGTCGCTGACATAACAGGGATCTTTTTGGCAGAGGAGGGTCGGGAAGTGGAGGTGGAGGTGGAGGATTTAGGGGTTGAACTGGTTGATCTAGTAGCTCCTGCACACAAGTTAACGGATGCCATGATGCAATTTAGTAGATGCCAAATGCCAATTGATTAATGATGATTATAAATAAACAATGTCCCAGGCAGCCCAACAGACCTGCGGTGGGAGAGCTGGCGGCATGCTGGGATTTCTTTGGCAGGTTGAAGATCTGCTCGCCGGGATCTGGAGGGGGAATGGCATCCTGGCCTTGTCTAGCCTGCACCGGGTCGTACTCCTTCCCGTCGTAGTTGGCGTCGAAGAACTTCTTGAACCACTGAATGAAGTCCAGGTTGTCTTGAAACCGTCCCTTGACGAGCTTCTCTACAGGGATGATCTAAGCGGAAAGGAAACACGATGTGAGTGTAAATGTGAAGAAATTACATTACACATAACAAATACAGAGTTAAATTATGGGTTCACAAAGTGGTGTCAAATTAAAATTAATTATTATAAAATAAAATATTTAATTTATCTGCATGTCATGTGACCGTTAATTGACAAAGACCTGCAAATACCTGAAGGTGTTATTAAATTATTCAAATACACATTTAAAATCAAGTAAACTTCATATAAAAATTCCAGAAATTTCAGGTCAAAGGGATTCAGCTGAAAGAAAAAAAATTATAATAATTTATGAATCCCTGATTAAATGATTATTTAAAATGATACATGTGATTTTTTTTATTGCGTGCATTAAAAATATATTTTATTGCATGCATTAAGAAAGTCTCCATCCGTCAGATATCACTAAAATAATTGTCCTAAAAACCTGCCTGGAATTAAAAAAAATTATGTAAATATAAAAAAATAAAAAATATTGTGGCTTCTAGCAAATCAGAAACATTTTCTGCATATCAATCATTTTGCACATTTGGATTTATTTTTTTTTTTATCAGATTTTGATGCCTTTGGAGGGTGTGTGGTTGAAAATTGGTTGGAATTGCTTACAGTTTGAGGTATAATAACTGG